CTGCAATTAATCGACAGTCCTACTAATAACTAACGGTAGAAGTAGTACCACTGTCTAACAGAACTTGTGCTACCAGAGATTTGTGAATGAAACTGTGCACTATAATCTGCCTTATTTGTCTGTTTTTCAGGAAAAAGTTATAGACTTCAATACTACCAGTGCCACTCCAATCAAATGGAAGTTGGAGGAGGTTGGGGTCCCCTCCTTCTCTCCCGATATACATTTATGGGCTACTCTTAGGACCTGTTTCATTCTCCTTTGTCTCTCTCATGACAGTTATCATTGGGACTGTTTGAGCTAGTTTTAAAAACATTCTCAACTCTCTCTAAGTATCAAGCCTAAATTTAAACCTCAGCATATCTCCACAGATGTTAGTGCATTGTAGGTAGTGTGATTAAAGTGAATGAGTTTTCTCCATTTCCTTTGGGGCTGTTACTCAGTCGAATAGATCTGACTATTAAGAGGTTTTACTTGATAATTAGTATACATTTTCTTTTCCTTAATTGCATCCCACCAATCTTAATGATACCCCCCACCCCCCGGACTATGATAAACTATTCCTCCCCAGCCCTGTCGTCTACCCTCTTCAAATACTTGTAAACAGTCATAGATTCATAGTCTTTTTTTAAAGACCAAAAGGGAGTGTTGTGATCATAAACCCAGAACTCCTACATAATACAGGCCATAAGGTTTCCCTGGCTTAATTCGTGCGTCAAATCCAAGAACATTTCTTTTCAAAGTCATTATTTGGTAAAAATGTACAAATTTAGTTTTTAATCTTTTCTCATAAATCAGTCATTTCAGCCACTGACTCTAATTTCTGCGTTTGAGTGATCTCTTAATTCCTTTCAGTTTGTCAACATCTTTAAAACGTCAATCCTAAAATGAGCACAGTATTCTAAGAGCAACTAAGTGTCTCTGATTCTTGACATAGTGTGTCTGAATACACAGCCCAAAATCTAATTTTTTTTGGCTATCGTATGCAATTGTAATCGGACTTCTAAATTTATTGTCCACTATCATTAAGGCTACATTTTAGTCAAGGGTATTTTTTAGTAAAAGTCATGGACGGTCATAGATTGTGTGTAAAAACAAAACAAAAAAACAATGGCCTGTGACCTGTCCATGACTTTTACTAAAAATATCAGTGACTAAAACTTGCGGGGGGGTTGGCAGGACCAGCAGGCTTCCTACCTGGCTTTGTGCCTCCCCCCAGTAGCAGTGTGAGGGGACAGGGGATTGGGGTGAGGTAGGCTTTGGGTGGCACTTACCTGGGGGGCTCCCTGGAAGCAGCAACATCCCCCTTGCTCAGTTGCTAGGCGGAGGTGTGGCAAGGCAGCTCTGTGCGCTGCCTCTGCCTGCAGGCACCGCCCCCGCAGCTCCCATTGGCCATCTCCCAGCCAATAGGAGCTGTGGGGGAGGTGCCCTGGGCAGAGGCAGTGTGCAGAGCTGCCTGGCCATGTTCCTGCCTAGCAGCTGAGCGAGGGGGATGTTGTTGCTTCTGTGGGGCTCCCCAGATAAACACCTCCCAGAGCCTGTGTCACCCCATCCCGTGCCCCTACCCTCTCCCACACCAAGTCTCTTCTGCTGGTGGGAGGGAGGGCGTGGTGGCCCGAGACTGCCCCAGCAGCAGCTGGTGAGCCTGGCGCAGGGGCTGCCTGAGCCAGGCGCACTGGCTGCTGCAAAAGTCACAGAGGTCATGGAAAGTCACAGAATCTGTCACCTCCATGACAAACTCACAGTCTCAACTATCATCCATAGATATTTTTTCAGTGTAGTCCCTTCTGTGTTTCTCCCTTCTGTTGAGCATGTTTCAAATTACTTTTCTGTGTTGAATCTTATTTTTTCCTGCCCATATGTGTCTAGGTAACTTTTAGATATCTCTGTCCTTGTGGATGTTGGCAAGACCTCTCAATTAGTATAATTTGTGTAAACATGCTATTTGCCCGCCTTTATGGACAAATAATGAGAATGTTAGGTCCCCACAGATCCCATTCTTTTTCTCTGTCCAAATTGGTATATTATTGTCCTTTTGTTTAGGATTCCACCTATTTTTTATAGTGGTCAGATCCAAAGTAGCTTGATCTTCTTCTTACAGCTAGTTGTCCCTTTTATTTTGTTAAATTTCTTTTCCTTTATTAATCCGCACAGTTTCTCCTGCCTCTTACTATTTACTTATTCCTTATCTAACTTTTTCACACTTAGCCTAAAACAACTGAACAATACACTAAAATATACCATTGAGAAGAATTTTGCATTGGCAGGAAGGTGAATTGGTGACTCAACAAGTCTTTCCATTCTTACCATCTTATTTTTTTCCTACCACTTCTGTATGTATGTGCTTCTTTTTTGAGACCTGTTCTTGTAATTTGCCCACAGTTCAATCTGCTGTCTTTTTAGAAGTAGCCCATTTCACCTGTTTTTGTCACAACTATTTGAGAAAAGGACTTGCTGCTATACAAGCACCATCTTCTCATTCACCAGCCTTTTCCACCATACCTTTAGGTACCCTCTCTGCAACTGTTTTTGGACTTAAGAATGCAGTAGTCTTTGAGGTTCTGTTCTTTAGTTTGCTTCACAGTTTCTTAAACATAGTCCCCTGAACCTCATTTGCTGAACTGGAATCCCTATTTAGCAGTATGATGAAAGATTCCAGAGCTTGAAGTTTTGAAGGAATGATCAATATCCTATTTAGAGAACAGGAACCCACTAGTATAGGCAAAAAGGCTGTAGGTCAATACCTCCCAAGTTGGAGGTTGAGCCAAAGTGTGCCTGAGGAAAGGTATAGGACTCACACTCCTTGTAAGTGTGCTGCTTATAAAGATGCAGTTTATTCCTTGAAAGTCACCACCTCTGTTCTTGCTCTAGTTCAGGACTGTGGGAGCATCTTAGAAGTACAGGTCTGCAGATTCAGTTGGCAAGCAGCCTGTAATCCAGGTTTCTCTTCTCTGTTCCTATGTCCTTCAACTCATCTGGGGGTGGCATCAATGAATGCCCTTACCCTCAGTGTCATATATATAATCTGATGAGCAGGACTACAGGATGGAGTAATAGAGCTGCTGGGAGTCAGTGGGGAAGGAAAAATCAGCAAAACAAATGAAAGCACACCAGAAAAAATAAGAAGAAAAAAAATACACAGGAAAAATGAACAGACCCAAAAAGGAGAATCAGAGTAAATGAACGGGGAAAAAAGGAAAGACTGTGGCAACTGTATGAGGGCATAGTGTGAGGGGAACAGAAAGCAACACATTCATTCACTAATCCATCCCCAATGGGTGGCTGAAACGGAAAAATTTGGAAACTACTGCAGTAGCTTATTATTGAGTATGTTTGACACTACCCATTATTTGTTCATATATTCGTATGCATAGTATCAGATTTGGTATTTATATTCTTGTGCTGAAGTTTGTTTAGCTGGCAGGAATTAAACTATATCTCTTTCTCCATCTAGATTCAGTTCTAGGTGTGTAATCAAAGATTACTTTAACCTTGAAATCAACGTACCAGTAGAAAGGCTATTGTAACCCGACCATATAACGTAAGGGTGCTCATCACTCTTGTTGAGGATTTTCTCCTCCTGATTTATATCCCCATCTCTTTGCAGCCCCTCTCCGTTCACTTGCTTGAAGTGGAAAGTATTGAGTGAGCAGTCTCTGCCTTAACCCTGCCCCACCTCATCTAGAGTCTCAGTCTGAGCAACATTACTCAACGAAACACCTCTGAGCTAGGAGAATTCTCCTCCGCCTTACACTGGAAATTTGAGGTTCAAGAGTGTGATTTTTGATTAAATTTCACCCTCAGAGAAGGTGAATTACAGCAAATGACACTATGGAACACCAAATCAGATGTCTAAATTTTGTCATTTGTAGGTATCAAAATTAGGTACAAAATTGTGACCCAGTTTGAGATCTGACAATTTACACTAGTGTTGTAAAATCTGGCATGTGGGGCCATCACCCATGGTTCGATATTGCTTTATGTTGTAATTAGCTTTCCATTATTTGTTCTGTACTTGGCATTTAGTAATTTTGGGAAGAATATATGTTCTTCAGATGTAACAAGTTGTCAAAACCCTCCCTGGTTTAAATCCAAAATTCAACTCAACTTTAACTGTAGAACCACTGCTTCTTCTGTGATCCCTGTCTTTACAATCTTCTTGCACTCTCCAGCTTTAATTCTTCAAAGTATTCATTTGAATCTACAGGTGAAGAGTTTGTGTAGTTACTTTTCTAGATCAAGTTACAGTGCCATAATTAAGAATTAGTTATAAGTTAATATTTAATAAGATTGATTCAGTGAAAAACCTTAATTTTATACACTTGTGCAATCATTTTATAAATCTTTCACAGCAATTTTTATGTGGGAAATCTAGCCAATTCAAAGTTAATCAAGACTTTTGTTTTGAAATCAATTTTTAAAAAATTTCTTTTCATCCTGTTGCTCAGAACCTGGTCTCTGAATGATGTCTGCTTCATTCATATCTAACAAGGCTTCAGCCCCAGTACAATACTCTCTCTCATTAATGTTAGAAAAACTGCTTGAGGTATGGGTTTTGAGGAGAGACTGAGAAATCTGAAGTACAATTTAAAATATCTTGCACAGCCTTATGCAGAATTTTCTATTAGAATAGATTGTGTTTGATTCCATTAATCCATAGCAAAGGGTACTTTTTGTTTCTTGGTATTGTTTGTGTGTAAGGCACTTTCTAGGGGAAATAATGCATGGTCACAAATGAGAAATTACTACTTTATTTTATATGGTAATTGAGAGGAGGAGATGAACAAAGTTGCAAAAGTTGCCAACTAATATTTTCAAGAGAAACAAGGCATAATCTGAGACTTATTGGACTTGGATGTAATTTGATTTTCATGAAGTATGAAAAACATGTTTAGAAGAAAAATCCTATGCAATTTCAGGGATTCCAGTTTTGAAAAGCAGATTACTGGGATTCTTTGATTTCTTTTTTGACTTAGTTCTAATGTTTTGTTTTTTTAAAATAGAATGATATGACAACTGCTCGGCTACAGTGGGGAGAAATTCTTATGCCATTGCTCAAAAAATATAAACTAAACATAACGTGGGGTGATCAAGATCTGTTGAATATTATGTTTTTTCATAATCCAGGTATGTCTCTTTCTCTGTTTAACTTTGATAATGTTTCACACTACCACTGTAAGATATTAATCTTGTATTTAGTTTCTAAATGCAGAAAACGCTGCCCTTTTCAGAATTTTCAATGGATATGTTCCAGATAGCTTTTGTTTATGCCTTTTAAAAAATGTTCTTTATGTTGCTTTTGAGAGATCATTTAGTCCAAAATAGATTTGTTGTATTGATGCTAATTATTTCAAATATAATTGTATACAAAAATTTTAACACAATCTTTGCAAGATGTTACCTTACCAAGAAAAATTGATTAAATTTTTGCTCTCTCCCAAAGAGTTTTGTTGTGAACTGTGTACTGTATATTTTTCTGAACAGAGAGCCTTTTTGTCTTTCCCTGCCAATGGAATTACCGTCCTGACCACTGCATTTATGGAAGCAATTGTAAGGAAGCTGAAGAAAAAGGAATATTTATTCTTCATGGTAACAGGGGTGTTTACCATGATGATAAACAACCAACTTTTAGGGCTATATATGAAGCAATAAAGAAAGTAAGTAACTGTGTAAACTACAATCATCCATATCTTGTGTAGAATTATTTAGAAAACTTATCTGCTAAAGTTTAACATGTTAGGACATTGGCACTTTTTCTTGTATTAATACCTCACCTTTATCAATTCTAGATAATTAACATAGTAACACTAACGAAACACAGTAACAGTAACGAAAGCTTATGCTCAAATAAATTTTAGTCTCGAAGGTGCCACAAGTACTCCTTTTCTTTTTGCGAATACAGACTAACACGGCTGCTACTCTGAAACTTTTTAATGACTTCCAGTTCAGCTGGACTTCAGGCTTGGTTTTATGACAAAATAGAATTGTTCATTGTACTTTGGAACTAACATTTTAGGTTATTCAAGAATTATGATCAGTTTGGAATCTAAGAGTACGTCTACACTATGAAATTAGGTCGATATTATAGAAGTTGATTTTTAGAAATCGATTTTATACAGTCGATTGCGTATGTCCACACTAAGCGCATTAAGTCGGCGGAGTGCGTCCTCACTACCGTGGCTAGCATCGACTTACGGAGGGTTCACTGTGGGGCAACTATCCCACAGTTCCCACAGTCTCCGCCGCCCACTGGAATTCTGGGTTAAGCTCCCAATGCCTGATGGGGCAAAAACATTGTCGCGGGTGGTTTTGGGTACATGTTGTCAGTCCGCCTCCCTCCGTGAAAGCAACGGCAGACAATCGTTTTGTGCCTTTATTCCATGTGGACTCCATACTGCTTTCAGCAGACAGTGCAGTAGGACTGCTAACTGTCATCCATCGCTTCTGCTGCAACTCTGCTCTGCTGCTATTGTCTCAATAGTGAATTTCTCCATGTTGTCTGTTATGGGCTCCCAGGTACATGTGTTCTTGGGAAATGTGCGTGGTGCTAACAGTCATCCTCCACCGCTTCTGCTGCAACTCTGCTTTGCTGCTTTCATGAATCCACCTCGCAGATCCTCTTGTAGTTCTCTATAAATATCTATTCTCGTGGCATCTGTCGTCAGCCACCGCTTCTGCTGCAACTCTGCTCTCCTGCAGATGCCATACCACGGCAAGCATGGAGCCCGATCAGATCACTGCGGCAGTTATGAGCATTGTAAACATCTCGCGCGTTATCCTGCAATATGTGCAGAACCAGAACCTGCAAGAGGAGGCAACCGCAGCACGGTGACGAGAGAGATGAGGACATGAACACAGACTTCTCTTAAAGTACGGGCCCCGGCAATTTGGATATCCTGGTGGCAGTGGGGCAGGCTCATGCCGTGGAAAGCTGATTCTGGGCCTGGGAAATAAGCACAGACTGGTGGGACCGCATAGTGTTGCAGGTCTGGGATGATTCCCAGCGGCTGCGAAACTCTCGCATGCGTAAGAGCACTTTCGTGGAACTTTGTGACTTGCTTTCCCCTGCCCTGAAGTGCAAGAATACCAAGATGAGAGCAGCCCTCACAGTTCACAAGCAAGTGGCGATAACCCTCTTGAAGCTTGCAATGCCAGACAGCTACCGGTCAGTCGGGAATCAATTTGGAGTGGGCAAATCTACTGTGGAGGCTGCTGTGATCCAAGTAGCCAACGCAATCACTGAGCTGCTGCTATCAAGGGTAGTGACTCTGGGAAATGTGCAGGTCATAGTGGATGGTTTGCTGCAATGGGATTCCCTAACTGTGGTGGGGTGATAGACGGAACACATATCCCTATCTTGGGACCGGACCACCTTGGCAGCCAGTACATAAACCGCAAGGGGTACTTTTCAGTGGTGCTGCAAGCTCTGGTGGATCAGAAGGGACGTTTCACCAACATCAACGTGGGATGGCCGGGAAAGGTACATGACGCTCGCATCTTCAGGAACTCTGGTCTGTTTGAACAGCTGCAGGAAGGGACTTACTTTCCATACCAGAAAATAACTGATGGGGATGTTGAAATGCCTATAGTTATCCTTGGGGACTCAGCCTCCCTCTTAATGCCATGGCTCATGAAGCCATACACAAGCACCCTGGACAGTAGTCAGGAGCTGTTCAACTACAGGCTGAGCAAGTGCAGAATGGTGGCAGAATGTGCATTTGGACGTTTAAATATGCGCTGGCGCAGTTTACTGCCTCGGTTAGACCTCAGCGAAACCAATATTTCCACTGTTATTGCTGCTTGCTGTGTGCTCCACAATATCTGTGAGAGTAAGGGGGAGACATTTATGGCAGGGTGGGAGGTTGAGGCAAATTGCCTGGCCGCTGATTACGCGCAGCCAGACACCAGGGCGATTAGAAGAGCACAGCAGGATGCTCTGTGCATCAGAGAAGCTTTGAAAACCAGTTTCATGACTGGCCAGGCTACGGTGTGACAGGTCTGTTTGTTTCTCCTTGATGAAAACCCACCCCCTTGGTTCACTCTACTTCCCTGTAAGCCAGCCGCCCTCCCCCCTTTGATCACCGCTTGCAGAGGCAATAAAGTCGTTGTTTCAAAATCATGCATTCTTTATTAATTCATTACACAAATAGGGGGATAACTGCCAAGGTAGCCCGGGAGGGGTGGGGGAGGAGGGAAGCACGGGGTGGGGTGGTGGATGAGGGGAGGAGGGAAGGACAAGGCCACACTGCACTTCAAAACATATGAAATGCCAGCCTTCTGTTACTTGGGCAGTCCTCTGTGGTGGAGTGGTTGGATGCCCAGTCTCACCCCCCACATTCTTGGGCAGCTGGGTGGGGAGGCTATGGAACTTGGGGAGGAGGCTGCGCGGTTACACGGGCTGCAGCGGCGGTCTGTGCTCCTGCTGCCTTTCCTGCAGCGCCACCAGATGCTGGAGCATATCAGTTTGATCCCCCAGTAGCCTCAGCATTGCATCCTGCCTCCTTTCCTCATGCTGCTGCCATCTCTCGTCTTCCCTTTCATCCGCAACCTTTCATCTCACTCGTCCCTCCCGTCCTCGCGTTCATTTTTTGCTTTCCTGGACTCTGCCATTGTTTGCCTCCACGCATTCTGCTGAGCTCTTTCAGTGGAGGAGGACTGCATGAACTCAGAGAATATTTCATTGCGAGTGTGGTTTTTTTTCACCGCCTTATCTGCGCTAGCCTCTGGGACGGAGATGATAGGGGGAACATTGAAACATTTGCAGCTGCAGGAGGAAAAAAAGGGAGAGTAGTATTTAAAAAGACACATTTTAGAGAACAATGGGTAGACTTTTTCATGGTGAACCAAGCTGTTAACATTACATAGCACATGTACTTTCTGTACAAGTTCACACTTTGCCTCTTATATTGAGGGCCTGTCGGTTTGGTGTGAGAGATCACACATGAAGGGCCGGGCAACAGAATTCGGCTTATAGGCAGCCATGGTAAGCCACAGTCTTTCGGCTTCTTCAACCTTCATCACATGTGGGAATGGTTTCAAACAGCAGCACCCTCCTTTCCTATACCATAAAAGGAGGGGCTGAGGTTTTCGGATTGATGTGCAGCACAAACACAACTAACCCCCCTCCCCTCCCAGTTCTCTGGGATGATCGCTTCACCCCTCCTCCCATTGCATGACTAGTATCAGGGAGATCCCTGCCAGCCAAACGCGAACACCTCAGTGTAAACGCCCCACCCCAACCCACTACCGCGTGGCTAAAAGTGGGGATGATTTCTTTTCAGCCACAGGCAAACAGCCCAGCAAGAACGGCCACCTCTGAATGTCCCCTTAATAATGTCTCTGGAGGATTTCAGCTACATCCCCAGACACATTAACAGACTTTTCCAGTAGCTGCACTGGCCGTGAATGTATCCCAAGTCTTCAGGACAAATTAATCAGTAAACACGCTTGCTTTTAAACCATGTATTATATTTACAAAGGTACACTCACCAGAAGTGACTTCTCTGGCTTTATGGTCCGGGAGCCCGCCTTGGGAGGGTTGGGAGGGTATTTGCTCCAGGGTGATAAACAGTTTCTGGCTGTTGGGGAGAACGGTTTCTCCGCTTGCCTATTGTGTGCTATCCTCCTCCTCCTCCTCATGTTCCTCTTTCCCAAAATCTTCATCCCTGTTGTGTGAGACTCCCCCCTTGCAGGTGTCCACAGACTGGGGTGGGGTAGTGGTAGGGGCACCCCCTAGAATTGCATGCAGCTAATCATGGAAGCGGCATGTCTGGGGCTCTGACTCGGAGAGGCTGTTTGTCTCTGGTTTTTTGGTAGGCTTGCCTGAGCTCCTTAATTTTCATGCAGCACTGCTGCGGGTCCCTGTTATAGCCTCTGTCCATCATGCCCTTGGAGATTTTTTCAAATATTTTGGCATTTTGTCTTTTGGAACGGAGTTCTGATAGCATGGATTCATCTCCCCATATAGCGATCAGATCCAGTACCTCCTGTTCGGTCCATGCTGGAGCTCTTTTGTGATTCTGGGACTGCATAGTCACCTCTGCTGATGAGCTCACCACTCTGGCCAAACAGGAAATGAAATTCAAAAGTTCCTGGTGCTTTTCCTGTGTACCTGGCTAGTGCATCTGAGTTGAAAGTGCTGTCCAGAGCGGTCCCAATGGAGCACTCTGGGTTAGCTCCCGGAGGCCAATACTATCGAATTGCATCCACAGGACTCCAAATTCGACCTGACGATGTCGATTTCAGCACTAATCCCCTCATTGGGGAGGAATAGATTTTAAGAACCCTTTAAGTCGACAAAAATGGCTTCGTTGTGTGGACGGGTGCAGGGTTGAATCGATCTAACACTGTTAAATTCGACCTAAACTCATAGTGTAGACCAGGGCTAAGACGTATTCTGTAACTGCAGTAGATTTATTAAAAGACCTTCTGCTGAGACTTATAACAGTTGAACACAAATATTTAAAGAACCATATAATATTTATTTGTATTAGTATAATTCCCTCAAACCAACAGAGATTGTGGTTCCATTGTGCTAAGCATTATACAAACAGAGTAGGAGAAATTCCCTGTCCCAAAGGGAATGTTCATAGTACCAAACAATTGTTAAAATTTTATTGTAGGCATACTTTGCCCACTGGAAAACAAATACCTGTATTTTTGTATCATACTGTGATCTGTTTTGTATGCTAGGCATATTAATATGTAGTTATCACTTTAAATGCATGCAAGTTTCTCTTCTAAGTACAATGGATTCTTTTTTATTCTGCAAATAAGGCTTCCAATAAAGTATTTATCACTACATCAGTATATTCACTGAAGAGCTGTAAAAAGTAGCGTTGATACACATTTTAATGTAGCACACTATCTTGTATATGACCTTCGAAAATCAGTAGTATATTTTAATGGCACTTTATTGCAGGTTGTCATATGGATATAAAAATGAAGAAAAGTAATTTCAGGGGACTGAAAATACACTACACAGAAAATTTGTTCCCATAAAAATAAGATTCTTTGTTTCCTTTGAGCATTGTCAAAAAGAAAAAAAAATATCTCCTTTTTATTTATGATACCATTTGGTTTATGAATATTCCACAAAAAGTATATAAAACAATGCTGATCTGATGGTTAAGATTAGCAAAATTATTCTGGTTTTGCAAATAATTTGTATCATATCTCTTATGAAAAAATATAACTGAATTAATTATTGTATTTTTACTTTATGTTAATGTTAAACACAATATATGCTTGACATTCATTCAATTTAATGAAATTGTTGTGTCTATTGGTACTATAGATTATCCGTCGTGCTGTTGATTCACTGTCACTCCATAAGAATTGTAATTTTTAAAGAAGTGCATTTAGACTGGGATAATTATAAATTTTTCAAGCCAAAGGTGAGATGCAGTAGGCATGTGATCCTCATGTGACCAACCCATGAATTGTTAGATCGTTAAAGCTTATTTTTAATTTGCTTGGGTGGGTTAGTATGTTGATTTTGTATTTTGTCTAAGCAATATTTGAGAGATGACTTTTTCATGTTGTATTCAGAACAAGCTGTGCAAAGTTTTTACTAGCCTTAGAGCATCAAGTAACTATATTTATGCAGTAACTTTTGTGTTTCACAATAATGATGGAAGGCATTTTCATAACACTCTAGCTTCTTTGAAAAAAAGGAATATTGTTCTTGCACATGACCTTAATGTCACTTCTCATTTATTTCCCCTCTTTAGTATTCCTTTGGCGATGACCTGGTTAATTTCCTGTTACAGCCCCTAGAACTGGAACTGCAGAAGACAATGCATACATACTGTGGAAGAATATACAAAGTGTTCATAAAGCAGCTAACAAAAAGTATAAGAGATATTTATGATAGAAGATCAAAGGGAAGTTGATTCTTACTACAAACTCACAAAACTATTTAATTTAAACAAAGACAGAATATATAAAATGTATGAAGGATGTTCATGCAAGAAATATAATATTGTGTGTGCCCAGGTAAATGTTTACCAGTGTAGATAAAATGAAGAAACTTCATATTATGAAGAATACAAACACTTTCCTGCGAAGAAGATATTTTTAATCTTTTAATCACTGTTAATTTTCATTCCAGTTCTAGTGAATATGGGAGTTACTGGCTGTTCTAGTCGGTTTTTTATTCTGCATAATTCAGTTGTCTGTCATACTCAAATGGGTAAAACAGAAATGAAGATAGATCTATTGGTAGAATGTACCTCATACATTATCTATGATTCTGCTAAACTGTGAATGTAGCAATAATTGAGTCAGCACTAACCTCACTTTAAAAGTGTGAGAACAAAGTTGTTTACAAGGGCAGAAGTTACTCTGTTTTCAAAGAAATGTGATGTAACTATTGACAATCTGTATGTGCCTTTAGATGTGTTCATCTCCTATATGTTAAAATATTGTTTTGACAATCGTGTTTCATATTTTAGATGTAAACTGCACATTATAAACAAGAAAAGGAGTACTTGTGGCACCTTAGAGAATAACCAATTTATTTGAGCATAAGCTTTCGTGAGCTACAGCTCACTTCATCGGATGCATACTGTGGAAAGTGTAGAAGATGCTTATTATATACACACAAAAAGCATGAAAAAATACTTCCTCCTACCCCACTCTCCTGCTGGTAATAGCTTATCTAAAGTGACCACTCTCCTTACAATGTGTATGATAATCAAGGTGGGCCATTTCCAGCACAAATTCAGGGTTTCTCACCCCCCACCCCCACCCCCCCCCCACACACACAAACTCACTCTCCTGCTGGTAATAGCTTATCTAAAAGAAAAGGAGTACTTGTAGCACCTTAGAGACTAACCAATTTATTTGAGCATAAGCTTTTGTGAGCTACAGCTCACTTCATCGGATGCATACTGTGGAAACTGCAGAAGAAGGTTTTCTCACCCCCCCCCCCCCCCCCAAACCTGGATTTGTGCTGGAAATGGCCCACCTTGATTATCATACACATTGTAAGGAGAGTGGTCACTTTAGATAAGCTATTACCAGCAGGAGAGTGAGTTTGTGTGTGTGTGTGCGCGTGGGGGGGTGGTGGTGAGAAAACCTGGATTTGTGCTGGAAATGGCCCAACTTGATTATCATACACATTGTAAGGAGAGTGATCACTTTAGATAAGCTATTACCAGCAGGAGAGTGAGTTTGTGTGTTGGGGGGTGGTGGGAAACTTTGTCTAAGCCACTTGAATAACCAAAAACATGGAAGGGAGAGTAACCTTTTAAAATAACTTTTACGGGGGGGGGGGGGGGGGGGAGGTATTTTTTCATGCTTTGTGTGTATAAAAAGATCTTCTACACTTTCCACAGTATGCATCCGATGAAGTGAGCTGTAGCTCGCGAAAGCTTATGCTCAAATAAATTGGTTAGTCTCTAAGGTGCCACAAGTACTCCTTTTCTTTTTGCGAATACAGACTAACACGGCTGTTACTCTGAAACCTGTCATTATAAACAAGATTTTCAAAGCAATTAATCACTAGTGTCAGAGGAACTAGTTTCCCATATGTAGTTACTGATATCTTGTTGTGATACAACCTCATAACAGATGTTCAGCCATCTTGCCAAAATACTCCAGCAGAATTTTTTACAAAGATACAATATGAAATTTTTTAAAAAATAGTTATCACTTTTAATGATACTTTTTTGCAACTTCACTGAGCTTTCTGGAAGCAAAAATATATAATGGAACGTTGCCTCTATTATATTTAATTACTAAGAATGATTACATGATACGGTAGAGAGCTCTGAGTGGGGCTCTTAATTGTTCACCAAAATGCATATAGGACATGTTTCCTATGAGAACTATTAATCATGAGGAAATATTACAACATTACCACTTCCCCTCCTAACCCCTCTCCCCAATAGATTTGCATATGTGCTTAATAACAAAGCTTAAAAATCTTGGACAGATCCTCAGATGAATGGTTCCATTGACTCCAATAGAGCTGTGCTGATTTACAAGAGTATTAGGTCCCTGTGTTTTTGTTCATAGTTTCTATTGTTCTATTGTTTCCAGGATATAAATTATTTCCTTTTGAAAAACGAAACAAAATAAGAAAAAATCTATTGGTTCTAATAGTAATAAAATATTATATCTCAATGGCATGAAATGCTGTTTTAGGTAATACTTGAGCTGAATTTAGATCAGGAGTTCTCACACTGGGGGTCGGGACCCCTCAGGGGGTCGTGAGGTTATTTTGTGGGGGCGGGGTCGCGAGCTGTCATTCTCCACCCCCATCCTGCTTTGCCTCCAGCATTTATAATGGTGTTAAATTAAAAACACTTTTTAATATATTTATAAGGGGGGTCGCACTCAGAGGCTTTCTATGTGAAAGGGGTCACCAGTACAAAAGTTTGAGAGTCACCGATTTAGATAATAGTTCTAACTGGAATGAAGTAATTATATGGTGTTTTTTTCTGGGAGTTCCTTTGTAATCTGAGCCTAAAAGATCCTGTCACTTTCTAGTCATCCCCACCTTCCATGAGGCCCCATATAATGGCCATCTTTCTGTCTGAGGATGTCTGGGTCTTATGTCTGTCAGACCCAGCTGGATCTAAGGAGTTGCTTAACGGTACAAAAGCACACCCTCTATTGGGAGCAGTGCTTCTGTTGCACTCCCAGCCCCTGCTGGCTCAGGGAGCAAGAGACTGGATGGGAAGTAGAAGCCAGAATCTCTTGCATGTAGAGCAATGCACAACCACTAGTCTTATTAGACATATCTGGAGCTGTTTTTAATAGGGATAATACAGGAAACTGTTTATGGGTTTTGATTATAGTCATCGTACATAAATTCAGATGCCAGAAGGTAGTCTGCCCCGACTTCACTCAGTGATTTTTTGTACATACACATGTTGCATATAAAATAAAAAGTATTAGTGAGCCAGATAAATCCTGTTAATTCTACTCAGCCATCTATTGGAAGTCACCAGATGGTCACCACACCGTATAGTCTTATTTTTAGAATAATGTGGAAATCAAATAATTCTCTTAATGTTTGGGTATTTACTTATATTTTGCACACCAAGACACCATAGAAAATTTACTTTACTTTTGAAACTAGTTCATACTTACTGTTTCCATACTTATGAAGTGAAAGATGTTTATTTCCTTAAAAACTTCCTAGATTTAAAATCTGACAGTGAATGCAATTGTAAAGTTGAGTGACTTGCAGCATGCAGTGCATTATTTTTTTACATAAACGTTGTTTTGCATCCATTTTTGTCTTCAATTTTTTACTTCTATTAATAGTACTGTGTGATTATGTTTACAAACACTTTCCTTTGTAACTCCCTGCTTTTGCACATCTATAACTTGTTGAAATATTCACTCTTGGGACTGTTGTTTCATGCTTGATCTTTATACAGATGTTGGGTGGTTGTTTTTTGAAAATTTTGGTGAATCCTTTGAGCCATTTTTCAACAAAATGATGGAGTGCAAAAAGCAGTAACTTTTTCATTTAAAAAAAATCCACTTGTACTCTTTTTGAACAGAACTGAAACAAAAATGTCTGAATTTGAAAGTTAAAGCTTGTCATAGAATAGACAATCTGCAGTGAGTTATGCTTTAATTAAACAGATTTTGCTTTAACATTTTTGAAAATTGCATTCTGTGCAATAGACTTTAACAGTGTATAAACTTAAGACAACCTCAGTGAACCTCTGGGCTTCTTGGAAAGTGTAAACTTTTCAAAAGTGGTTAAAAAGGAGCATGTGCTGCTGGTGAACCTTCCCACTATCTGATTAGCTTTTCAGCATAATTGTCTCCTATATTGTTTGGGATTTTTTCAGTTTCAAGTTCTCTAGGGTCTACGAATCATAAAATTTTCTACTTGGAAAAACAAACCTAACTTGCAAAACACACATTCTGGGGACAATAAGGAGAAGAAAGGGTGGTCATGTGAGGGGAGGATCTTGCACTTCCTTAAGAATTTCTCAAACTGTGTGTTTGTAAGGTTATTTGCATAGAGGTATAAAAATATGTATTTAGCCTGAAACTTAGCTGACTTGTGCTTTCTAATTTTAGAAGTGTGCTGTTTATTACTGACATTGACAGGTGCCATTTGGCTGTTTGCGTGTAATTATAAAACTAAAGGCTTCCCCTTTTTCCTATTTTTAAATTAAAAGAAACAAACCTACACTAATGGAAAGTTTTTCTTCAAGGGATTATCTCTATGTGTATTTCCCTCAAGATGTGCATGTGCTGTTGATTGGAGCTAGCAGTGTCCACTCCATCTGTGTGTGTGCCCTAAACCCCCTTGTGCTCTGTATCAAAAATATAAAGGGTGGAGTCAGATCAGTCGCCATTCCAGTTCCTCTCTACTGTCTTAAGCTTGAGACAGAGGACTACAGTGTCCATGCCCTTCTTACATCTTTTTTTAATAACTGAAAATAGTTGTTAGATACAGTACTCATTTAGTATTAGTGTTTTGCTGTTTAGCAAATCGTTTTATTAGTATTTGTAGATTTTTATAGGCATTTGAAAATTTCTTCTCTATTCCTCCATCTTTGTTCCTTCATTTTTTTTTTTCTTGAAGGGACTCTTCCGCAGTTCCATTTATTTATTTATTTTTGATTGACCCATTCAAAATCCCCTAACTTCAAATACAGCACCTTTTGAGATGGAGCTTTTCCCCAGAATGATGGATACTCTGTCTATTGTACCTAAAGGAATCTCATATTTCAGCAAAGTTTGGAATATGTAAGTCTTTCTATATAGGACAAAAAAATCCAGGGAGGCATGTTTAAAATTTACCTCTTGGACATTTCCATGAGGCCAGCTTCTGATTCCAGTCCCTCTGACCCCTCTCCCCATGACCATGGTTAGCAGTGACTTAAAAAGACATCCTCCAGTTCCGCCTCAGTCAGTTTCAAGGTGCCTCCCAGCAAGAGTGCTTGTAGATATGTCAGGGAAGGCTGTTGGAGATAAGTCTGCACAATCAGGTGTAGAACTTAAAGGTAGATCACCTCAGAAATCTCACAAAAGTGAAGTCTTAACTCCCTGAGTCAACCCCATACTGAGAGAGATTCTGTGGCCCACTCTGGAGTGATGGAGTTTCTAGGGAGTGCGGTACAGTTTGTTCAGTACTGACCGTGAGAGGGCCCAAATCCATTCTGGGTGCCAAGTCTATGAATATCTGGTTGCCTCTGGTATTTAAAGTATTGGTACTGGTAGCTGCTGCTTCCTCAGTACTGGCAACGTCTGCAGTGCTGAATGTTTCTTTGGTACCTAGTATTTCTGTCCTGAGTAGCTAGATACCAGGCACTTGGGTACTGAGTACTTCTGTTCTACCTATGACTATATCTCCTGGGTTTTTGGTTCCATTAATGTTGGTGCTGGTTACTTATATGATACCAAGAGACTTGCAGGTTTTCAAGGAGCCTGAGTTTCCCTTACTCTCAGGAGGTCTGCTTTTGACTTTGGTGCATGGCTCTAGGGATACAATGGTACCATCCCATTCCCTGGCACAGTCCCATTCACAAAGGTTTCCTCCTACGCATGTCAACATCTTTTGAGGTAGATGTTTTGTACACTTAAAAGTGTTAAGTGGAGGACCCATAGGGTCACA